GGGCGGGCGGGCGGGCGGGTGGGTGGGTGGGTAGGTGGGAGGATCTTCCTTGTTCATGGAAGGAGGAGGTCTCCTACATACGTCATGTTTCACGTTCATCGTTTTGCAGGGGGAACCGAGGGAGTCCGGTGGCTCTGCCACAGTCCACTCAAACGTCCCTGCCCTGCGTCCCAGCGAGGGCAACTGGGGCGTGCTGCTCACTCATTTCATCTGGTGTGCCGGTCCTTGTGTCTGGCACACCCGGGCACGGCCCCACCCACGGATCATTCATCTGCTCCGTAGCAATTCCTGGTTGGTGTCTGACATGTGTGGTACCAAAAATTTGATCCCATTTTTCGTTCCTTTCATCACCACCACCACCACCACCAGCATCATCATCATCATGATCATCATCATCATCATCACCATCATCATCACATCATCATCAACAACAACAACATCACCATAATCATCATCATCAACACCATTACCATCACCATCATCATATCATCACCACCACCACCACCACCACCACCAGCATCATCATCATCATCTCATCATCTCATCATCATCATCATCATCACGATCATCGCGTGACGTCCGTGCAGTCATCTTGTGCACCAGCTCATCAACCAGTGTGTTGGTAAAGTCCAGAGTCCAGGTGTGCTTGAGTAGCCTTTCATGAGACGAGCCCAAGTCAGGACGACTGCACCAGCCTTCCGACGAATGTGGATGCGCCTTCTGTAGCGGTGGACCCTTGGCAAACATGTCTGTCTAACGAATATCTAAGAGCTGGCCCAAAAAGCTCGCAAGGGCGCAGGCCAGCGAATGCGCTCCGTCCAGGTGTGCGGGGAGCCGTTCCAGCCAGGACCACCTTATCATGAGGAGACTAAGCCACAGGCCGTAACATGTTGAGTCGTAGGCCAGAGTGACCAACAGAAATTACTGGGTCTGCCTTTGATGCGATATCCGAGACGTTCATGATCCCAGTCTGTTGGCTTGTTGGGTTTTCGTCCTTGGCTGCAGAGGATCATGTTAGGCAACAAGCTTATGAACGTGCGATCCCAACAAGAAGCATGCCGGGCTCATGGCGCCCCCATTTTGCCGCACATGTAACTCTGGACACCAGCACAGGCAGTGTCAACACCGCACCTCAGAGACAACAGCTCCACACGGCTGGAACGAAGAAGCACAGCTGGACAGGTACTTCGCGACTCCGAGCGTAGGTCTCTTGCACAGGCCCAGGAAGCCGAAGCTACTTCTGTCCTTAGGCAGACGTCGCTTCAAGATGTACAGCGCCCGCATGTCTGCCAGCCGAGGTGCGTGAGAGTCCTTGAATACATTCGAGAAGGCTTGTTGCAGAATCGTTTCACTGCAGCTCCCATGCCTGGCCTGTTTGGTAAGCTGCTGGACTGGCCGTGGCACTGTAGGCCTGCTGGCAACAGGCCTGACGCGAACACGCTGACTCACTAGACTCGACGAAGGTGCATCGGGATGCGGACCGCATGGATGAATGTGGCGCTGGCGCAAGAAAAGCAGGACTCGACCACATCGGACCTCAGAGATGCAGCAGCTTGAAACTCAAAGCCTTTCGGTTGCAAGTCCCAGGCCCAAGCCAGTTCCAATGCATCTGACTGCCAGCAGCACGCTGGCAGTGCTGGCCTGACATCCAGGAACCCAGGCTGCGGCTGCCGCTCTGAAGCCACGCCGACACAACAAGCGCCCGACAAGGGCGAGAGCCAAACGGGCCTTGGGGAATGGCAATTGGCTCTCCCGCTTGACACTACTTGACAAATCCTCGAGGCATCGGCCATGCCTAACCCAACTCGGGAAAGGAGAGACCGGTCTGCTCCAGGGAGCCTGGAGCCTAGAAACAGCCAGTGCACAACCGCATGCAAGCGCATGCAAGCGCATGCAAGCGAGCAGTCGAGCCAAGTCAATGCACAGGAGTCAAGACAAGCCCAAAAGAAACGCGCGCCGGACCTTTTCTGGGTTCTCCCAATGCACATTAGCTGCGAGCCCTTCTTGGGCACGTGAGACCTACTGTCACTGACTAGAACTGGGCAGGAGCTGAGGAAAACGATCTCAAGCCTGCAGCAACAAGCTGCCGGGGCACTCGCCATGGCGATGCACATGTGCGGCTGCACTCTGCATTGCTCGCGCCTAGGAGCTGCGGAGCGGAGTACACTCGACGCATCGCAACCTCAGATAAGACAGAGGAAAACAGAGCGGAGCGGAGCAGAGAGTCTCTGCAAAACCCCGAGTCCTGGACGGAAGTTCTGGGACACGCTATGCCCGGCATCACTTGGGTGGCCTGAAAGGATCTTCCAGCGCCGCTCTGGCGACTTGGATACGGATCCGGATCAGCCTCTTGGCCAAGATGCCCGGTGGATGCGCTCATCGATCCCTGATGCCAATTCCCAAAGCAAATCAAGTCCTACCAACTCGCAATGTCTCCGGCCATCGCGGCTGACGGTGCTGGCCTCGCTGGACACACGACAAACCAGAACTGCCATAGCTGCGGCTGAGGCTGCAGCACGACCAGCAGTGAAACATACTGCTGTGGTACAGCAGGTCCTTCCGTGGCTGCGTGGGTGAGTTTGCAGTTCGTTGCCAGGCACTGACAGGCCTCGTGCGGCTTGCAATGTGCCGTGAGTATGCGTCATTTGCACTGCTGGGGCCTGGCGCCGCAAACGGTGACTTCGGCAGCTCAACGAATGTAGCCAAGAACGGCTGAGTGATTCGGCTACCCTGACCCGGAACCGAAGGTGAACTCCAACATGCCCGTGCTCTGACGCCCGAAGTTCCAAGTCCTGACCCAAGGCAAAGGTACTTTGAAGGCCGACCACAACCAACGCCCAGTCCCTTTGTCGCTTGCACCCTTCTACGAGAATGAACACGGACCCGCCAAACCCTAGCAGCCCTAGCATGCGAGACTCTGTGCCTGCGAGCATCCTTGAACGACGGGGATAAACCTCCCTGTGCCTGCAAGGGTAAACGCATGTGAAGCGCAAAATGTTCTGAACAACGTCTGGCATGGCAAACTACACGGTCGCTCTTGGTGGCAGAGTGCGGATCGTGCAACCCCGAAAAGAAAGCCATAAGTGAAAGCCCCAGACCCAGCGAAAAGGTGATGCATCTGAGGTCTTTTCTCCCATCAATGTCATGTGAGTGCGGGGACGAAGGCCGACTGCGGGTGTGCCTGCATGGGGGCTTTGGGCTTTCGCAGTCAGGCTGGAAATGCTTCTAAGTCCACCCTGGAAGTGAGAGATGCCGGGCTGTTCTGGCAATTTCATCGGTGCGCCGGCACGACTTCTTCAGCGATGTGACGTCCTCTGCAAGGTCTTCATCAAGCCTCTCACCGAGACCAGGAGAATTCTGACCAAAGATCACCTGTTCGCCAGATCCGAGGTCTAAGGTGTCAGCCTTGAGCTAGAAGCTTGTTTAGTGCCTCCTCTGTCTTATCAGCATCCAGACCTGTGATGTCTGACGTGTGCACGAAGTTTTGCGATCTGAGCCGAGGGTTCATCCTTAGTAGATCCATGTCATCGATCGCAATCCACGCGTGCACATGCTCGGACTTGGCAGCTCTCATCTCGAGCCACAGCAGGATTTCATCAACTCGGTCGCCCTTCGCGGATTTCTCCAGGTCGGGGGTGGAGCCATTGACAGATAGACCATACTGCAGAAAGAGATTCTCCAGCTGAGTTCTTTTGTGGTCAACCAAGCGCCAAGTAGAGGATAGGATTATCTTGGACTGGGTGTTGTCAATCAGAAATTTGAGATGCTCCATGATGTCCGTGGGAGGCACATCACTGTTTGCAGCTTCTCGGGATGTACGGCTGTTGAGCACACCATCCACGTCCAAGAATATGACTCTAGTTTGGCCAGCTAGTGCAGCCGTTGCCACGGAGATCAGGTCCTCTTCCTCTTCGGGGGAGGAGCCCGGCCGTGCTTCAGCACCAGCTACACCGCTGGAGTCGGTAGATGCCGTCACCTCGCTGCCGAGTTGCGCAGGGAGCGGCGGCAGCGGAGGAGGAGCTTTGCCTCGTATGTGGCGAATGACGTCCTGTCTTTCCATGTCCCTCGACGTGAAACAGTGACCCAGATGCGAAGAGCTACAAAGACTCTAGCCGAAAGGAAGGAGAATCACGAAGACTAATCCTGATCATGTAGGTTCGGGAACTGGCTCGCCATGCCCACATCGCTCAAGAAGGCTCAAGGTCAGCACCGTGAAGTGCAGCACGTGCAGGAGAGATCTGGACCGGGGCCGCCTGTGACAGCGCGGACAAGAGAAGAGTGCTCGGAAGCTGTCACCAGTCCATGTCCTTGGGACTGTCTGTTTGCCGGATGGATGCGCTTGACCTGGCTTGGGTTTAGGCAAGGGACTCACGGTCAAGCTACAGTGTTACAGAACCCGAGCACAGGACAGCGGCTGACTTCGAGGGATGGTGCCACTGGCCTTGCAACATGGCAGGCTCATGCACGCATGCTTCAAGTACGCGGTCGCACTGTCGCTGCTACGGTCGAAGGAAGCCCTACCTCTGCAGCACTGACCCGGTCTTCCAACAGGCGGCAATGCACCTGGAGATTGTCAGCGCCAAGCCTTCTGACTCCAGTTTGCCCCACGCAAGCTCAGCTCGGGTGCAGCACATCTAACCGGCGGCATTGCGATTCCAGAAAACGGCACTCATCAAACCTTGACATTGCACCACTCGGTGAGCCGTAAGCAAAAACTGTTGAAACCAAGCCTGCGCTGGTACTCCTGCTGCATTGGTTCGAGCTGAGACTTTAAGTCCTGCGACATCAAAGCTTCAGGAAAAGGAAGGAAAGACCACGAAGCGCATCTGTTCATCGACAGACCTTGTAGATCTCTCCAACACTCTCCAGCTGCTTGCTGAGATTGTGAACCTACCAACAACAAGCGGCAAGCGGCAATTCCCAAGTGTGTCATGTATGTGCTCGTACATGAAACTGCAGCATCGGGCGCCAGCGGATCAGATTTCAATGCAACTACATGTTTGCACCAAGCCACTCTTCTCTGTGCAAATCCTCACGGACTGTTAACTGTGCCCTATGCTGCGCGGCTTGGACTGGCAGTGCTCTGCCTGCCACGACATGTCAGCTTAACATTGTGATTCTTGACCACACGTTTTTGTTCAGTTCAGCTCCGAAGATTCTTGGAACCGCCAGTTGGCAGAGACGTGTTAGAGCCAAGCACAGGGTTTTGGAGTGCCTAAGCATGGTTCCACATAGAAAAAGCTGTCGTATCGTACTTTGACAAGGAACCCGGTTCGAACACCACACTTGGCTTCTGCCTGTGCTGTCTCTCTATCCACCCTTCTCGCCGCAGCCAGTCTCATGAACGAAGTGAGGTCTTTGACTTCCCTAAAATTTGCGAAAGCGGTTTTGCATCCTAGACCTGGCCTGCTGAATGGCCAGCTGCAGCTTGTCACCTCGGGTGAGCTCACGTGCCGGAACCCTGCCTAAGCCTGTGGATCCTGTCTTGGCATGCGGCTCGGGGAGGCCGGGTTCGGGACCATTTTATCACTGCCTGAGAACAGAAACACGGCAGATTTCGTGAAATCCGACATCTAGCGGGTCACTACGCGAGGCCTTGGCTCCGAGGGCTAAGTTCGGGTTCCTGCGAATCCGGCCTTGGGTCTTGCGAGATTCGAAGGCGAGCTGCACGGCCCACAGCTCTGCAAACAAAGTACCCGACGCTTCCACGATTCTGTGTAACTGCATCGTGGATTTCATCCGCTGCAAGCGTGAACCTGAGCAGAATGCCACAGGTCTGACTGGAGAAAGTAGTCATGCTGAGCTGAGGAAGACTGGCTGCGGAGTCTTTCCGAAACTACGAGACCATCCGCGATGGGGGGCTACACACGGGGGGTTCTGAACATCCGTATCGGTAGCTGATGGACGGAGTGTCGGAAAGTAATTCGGAAAAAGCAACGAACGTACGGCACGCTTTTTGATGTAAACCTTGCAATCTGGAGCAAGACAACGAGAAGGTTGCTTGCCGAGAATGGATGCCGTGAGAACGGCAAGTCTACAAAGCCGCCTGACAGGGGAAGACTTCGTCTCGATGCGCCAGTGGATCGTTGCAAAAGGATGAAAGATTGACAATGACTGACAGGAATGATGCATCCTAAGCTGAGTTCTGCACCGGCAAGACCTGGTCCACAAGCGTGCGTCTGCCCACTTTGCGCTCTGGCAGTCCTGAGCACGGTGTTCTGACGGATGTAGGAAGGAATTGCAAGCATTTGCAAGCGCATCACAGCGCAATCCAGCGAAGTCTGGCAGGCTGAGAATGCCACCCGAAAGGCTGCCGGCCCGAAGCTTGACTCTCACCGGGCAGAGATCGCATTAGCGACAAAAACACCTTGGCTACAAGTGAGTCAGAATCATGCCCCGTGCGTGCTTTCAAGAGCTTCGAGTTCATGAGATTCGGTGGCTTAGGAAGTTCAAACATCTGGCTGTGACATCAGATCATTACCTTTGAAGCTGCCCTAGTGCAGGAAGATTTTCCAAAGAAGTCGAGGTGCATCCCTCTCGTCCATGCCGTCATGCCTCCGTCTCAAACCTGACTTCGGCACTGCAAACTGCACAAAACCGACAAGATGTAGCTCCCAGATTTCTAGGTGTTGCACCATCTCCAAGGCCAACCTGCCAAGCTCACCGAGTGCTGAAGACCACGACTCCAGTGCCACTTTTCAACTTCTGAAGATTCCAAGATCACCGAGAATCATGACATTGACTCGTCGATCAGCATAAACAATGCCGAAGCTTCAAACTGAATGCACCGCAGTCCACAAGAGGCATAGCAGACCCGAGTCTGATTCGAGTAGATGCAGCATATGCTTCGAAGATATTTCACGTGGATCCAAGACCACTTTGCTCATTCTGATTGATCATGCGATTCTTTACCATTTCATCATTTCATCTTCTTCGCTCAATTGCCTGTAGGGCTAAGTGGACAGATAACCAAATGCAGCACGACGAAAAAACTTAAGAAGAGGGCCACGAAAGCTAGGCCTCACGAGCAGTCAAGGCATGTCGATGAAGATGCTGTGCACTAAAAGCGCAGTCGCCAGGATGAGAAGCCCGCATTGCTTGAAGGACCCTTGTGCGATCATCTCTTGCGGGGTCCGTCTCCGTTATGAAACACAAACGCACCTGAAGCAAAACTGCATCACCCAGCAAGCATGGGAAATACTGTAGGCACATACACGCAGACACGAGAGAAGCGAAAGCTCATCAAAGCAGTTTCGTCCAACTCCATCCACAGCGATGCATACATCCATGATCCGGACGCTGAGGATCCGCATGGACAAAGCCACCATCAGTTGGGTCGCTTAACAGAGTCCGGACTCCTGCCCGGGTGGGGTGGGGCGGGGCGGGGTGGGGTGGGTGGGTCGTATGCGTACACCCTGATTCGGATGATTCTGAGATATTCTGAGGGTGCTTGTAATTGGATCGGGTGATCGAATCGCACACGCCAGAATCGCAGATACTCTTCCAATACGTGGGGTGCAGTTCTTCGCATGATAACCCGACACAGGGATCCAAAGCAGCAAAAGGACGAGCAGCGGCGGGAATCAACCTGGAATAAATCACTCCGGACGGTGAGACCTGCATCGTAAGAGTGGGTGTTGTGGTGGCCTGCTTTTCAGGGAGCTCGGTTTGAGCTCAGCTCACCTGGCGACGGCTGCCCCGGGCTCGTGAGCGCTAGCTGTTGCGGTAGCCACGCACGCAGGCAGCCTACGGGCGTGCTTCCGTTGCGCCGGCCTGACCAAGGTCGTGAGGAATGCGCCTACGGGCCGCTTTTCTGTTTGGGAGGAGGTTTTGGTGCGCCTCCCACGGCTCTGGCGTGCCTGCCTGGCCCTACCTAGGCCGTCACACTTCCTACGCAGGTGTGGATAGGGAGACACTTGTGTCGCTGATGATGTTTGAGGCCACCGTGAGAGCGTGGCTAGCCGTCAATTGTTACCTGGGTTACCTCTGGCTCTTGGTGGGCTTGACGGTGGTTGGTGATTGGCTCCCGGCGGACTCCGCTCTGCTGGTTCTAATTTGTTTGGTGCTGCAGCCTTTTGCTGCTGGCTCCGCGAAGCTCGACTCCGTTCGCGATGCTGCTCATTGATGGGCGGTGTTCCTGCGGGAACTTCCTTGGGCGCAGCTGCGGCTGCTCAGTTCGAGGCGCTGTTCTTCGGCAGCGGCCTACTCCTGGGCTTTTCCCGTCACCTCCTACTCCATGTTGGTCATCGTGTCCTGTGCTACACTCATTGTGGTGCGGCGTTCTCCCATGAACCTTCTCGTCGTCGCCGTCTGCATCGACTTCTCGCTCTGCAACGCCTTTTGCTTTGTGAGATGTGGAGGGTGTAACTACACCCTCGGAATTTGGCGTTTAGCAAGCTTTCGAGCTCATGCTGGCGTCGGGCAAAACCTCCAATGGAATGAAAGAGTGCATGCATTCCCCTGCACATTACAGGAGCCGGTTGAAGGCCTATGAACCGCAGTGTCGTCGCCGAAAGAGTTTAGGACAGAACAAATCACATGATATTCACGAGGACAGAATATCTGCTACACCACGCACCGTCACAGAAAAGATGCTCCGCGAATTCTATGAATTCTTCAATGCAATGCAAAGCCAATAAGCACCCTCATCATGCTATGTCCCGACTCAACAGCCCGCGAGGTTGCATAAACGAACACCCCGACGAGCCAACATGCTGCCATCGAGAATAGCAGGGCAGCAGCTGTGAAGCTTCGAATGAATAAAGCAACACATGCTGTGATGTGATCTTCTCGGACCTCTTCCGAGCCGACAAAGAGCTCACCGCAGCCACCTTTGGCAAGCATGGCCTGCGGCATGCGTTTCCGTATCTCGCAGCCGCATTCTTATCTGCGGTGATTGTTGGACGTGAACGCGCCTCTGCATGCTGCAAGGCTTCGGTGGCTCCCTGAAGAGCCTTCAGAACGCCCATGTTGCGATCAAGAAAGTAGACCGGACCGTCTCGCAAAGTCTGACTACTGTGACTACCAACAGTGAAGTAATGCACCTCCTCAAGGTCATGAGGGTCGACCTCCACCTGGCACTTTCGGAGAGCCAACGAAGGGCGCTGTTGAAACACGACGCGATCCGTGCCACCTCCGTGTCAGGACTGCCCATCTCATCCACTTGAACGAAGCGGCTGTGTCCTCGCACGATCTGATCTGCTGTCAATGGTAGACGTCTTCCGTTTCTCTCTCTCCGGGCTTTCACAAAGCATAGCGCTCGGAAGAAGGTCGCTCTACACGGAAACAGGACACTAACAAAGAACTTCGACAAACAAACGGTTGTAAAACCTGTTTAAAATCTTTGTTGGGCTCGCTCGTGAGCAGGGCACTCCAGATCCCTGCGTGTTTCCTTTAGAAGGCGCGGGCTGTCCCCGACTTCTGCTGCGCTTGCGCGCCACGTACAGGTCCCACGAGCCACTCTCTTCCTTTCGTTCGCTCTCTCTCTTTCTTTCGTTAGGGCTGTGGACTAGGGGGGCTCCCCTAGCCCGCGCGCTGTCGCGCCCCCAACCGTCTGGGCACGGGAGGACCCCGGTACCCTGCGCACTCGCGCTACGCCATTGTCCGCGTCTTGGTTGTGAGACTCGGAAGGCTCAGCTCTGGTGCACGGAGTGGCCCGACGTCCCCTACACCTCGCCTGTACTATGACTGTCCCTGTCGTTACCCCTGCCTGGGCCATCACGTGAGGGCATCAGCTTGTGCGGGTTTCCACGCCTCCCCGGGCATTGCCGGGGCAGTTGCTGGGTTCGAGGCTGCACTGGTGCTCCCAACTAACAACATGGCGAAACAACACAAAGCTACACAGATCACCCCCGTTGGTTGGCGTCAGCCCCCGTTCCGACTCTGACTGCTACTCTCTCTCTTTCTTTCGTTAGGGTTAGGGACAAGGGGGTTTCCCCTACTCTCTCTCTCTCTCTCTCGACTCGACCGGGACAGGAGAGGCAAGGCGAACCCTACCCTCCGCGCGCGCGCACGCGCACCCGCAGGGCAAGGCGGGGTTTTAGACTCCACCCGGGGTTTCCCCCCTGGGCGGTTCGGCTGTACAAAAGGTTCGGCTGCCGAGGATCCCCCTTTTTGGAACGCTCACAAACATAGACCACTGCTAAAACAAAGACCACTACAAGTGCAGACGAACACTTGATTTTGTGGGGGGTCCCCCATGGTCCTCCACTCCTCGCTGTTTGCAGTTACAGGGCACCAGAAGTAACGAACAAAGTGTCCCCCCTTAAAACGCCACTACACAACTGCAAAACTGCAACTGCAATGTGAGGTTCCGGCCGGCACACGAGAGCCCTACGTAGCAAGTAAAGTGAACACAGCTACATGGACGACTGCCAACATGTACGGCTAGTACATGTCCCCTCATGTTGCCTGCAGAGTGGCTAGGACAAGATGGCGCGCAGCATAGTGCAACTACTCACCTCCGCCTCTTTTTGTAGAAGAGAGGTGTTGGTTGGGTGTGTCCCCCAACGGAAGCGGTTACCATTGTGACTTGCAGACCCTACCACCCATGCTAAATACGACATGCAAGTGCCTAGGATGCTAGCTGTGGTGCAAGGGGTCGGTGCAGAAGCATCAAAATCACAGGATAGCTGAGGACAACAGCTTATAATGAACACTGTCAGTTTCCCCCTTTTGGCACCCTGGTTTACACGTATGGCCACTGCTTCCCTACTGTTCTTTGGTCCCCCAGGAGGAAATGGAGAGGCAGGTAGGAGGTACCTGTTGGAAAGGGGGTTTCTCCCTGAGGTTGCATCGAACAGGTCTCGGTGCTGCTACAGGGCTTTAGGTTGACATGGCGAGTCGCTGTATGCTAGGTACAGAAACCTTCCCCCCCTTTAGTTAAGCCCTGCAGCGTGGAGCCTACGGCGCCGGTGGCTGCTGCCACTCCCTTCAGTGGACTCACTTTCGGCGCCCCTTTGGTACAGGTCACCGAGGTCGGTGGAGCTTTCGCCCCCCTGCTGAGTGTGCCACTATGGTGGGAGACTTGCTTCTCCCTCTTGTACCCCCGCTGAGTCGGGTGGTGGTTCTTGCGTCGGTCCTCCCAAGGCCTGTATGTCCGCCTCCAGGCTCTCCGTAATGGAGGGCTCGGCTTGTGACGTAGTTATCCCCACCAGCGTGGTCCAGCCTGCGGGTTCCCCCCGCGTCGTCGCCGTGCATCGTCTTCGAGTGAGGCCAAATGCTTCATCCTCTGTTTTTGTCCCCGGCATGTCGCTGCCCAGGCTGAAGGTGTCGGCGTGGGCTTGCGGGCCTGCGTGTCGTCCCCCATCTGGTGCTTCAGTGGGCTCCTCGTCTTGGTCTTGCTGTGTAGGTCTGGGCTCGGTCTCGACGTTGTCCCCCGCGGAGCCATTCCGGAGGGCAGGCAGTGTCTCTTGGCTGTCCCCCTCCACGGTCTGTGTGGAGTCGTGGACCGCCAACACTCCTCCAAATGGAGCTTGCCTCACATTCTCCACTGCACGGAGCATTTGAGCTGCAATGGCCGCCTGCTCTCCCCCCAGCGTAGGGGTGAGAGCTCGGAACGCTTGGGCTGCTTCACAAGGAGAAGAAGAACGGCTGTTGAGCTCGTGGACGTTCTCGCCTCTGTTTCTTCCCCCCCCTTCGCTCTCTCTCTTGCTTTCGCCAGGGCTATGGGCTACAGGGAAGTCCCCTAGCCCGCGCGCTGTCGCGCCCCCGACCGTTTTGGAGGGGCAGGAAAGACGCTCTCTCTCCGTCTTTCTTTCTTTCTTTCTGCAGGGC